GTTAATGTAAAGTGTAGGGGCAAAAACAAAATTGTTTGGGGGGGGGGGGCTGGACTCGATGATCTCATGAGGTCCCTTCCAGCCCCTAATGTCTATGAAATCTATGAAAACCTGCTCGTAAAGCACCTAGATGCAGCTGATTGTTTATTTAATCAAGCAGGAAGAAGAAGGTGTGTGTGTGGGGGGACGTCAGTGTGGGGAAGAGCTGGCTGTGAACACCATGCGATTGTCAAAACAGTAAATGAGAGAGCCTCATGGGTTATTTTAACGCTGGCCAAAAACTGGACCTGCAAAGACTGGCCCCTGGGTTCCAGGATTTACTGTGCATTGGTCCTATCCTTTATGTACATTAGAGCAGCCTGAGGCCCATAGAGGCAATTCTGACAGCTGGAAGTAGCTGGATCATTGAGATACCCTGGCTGAGGTGGTTCCTTTTAGCCCTAGAGTCTACATAAAAACACAGGAATACAGGACTAGGATATTCTGTTCTTATTCATTAAATGCAACCATATCATGTCGATTAATCAAGATCCATCTTAAAAGTAGCTAGGTGTGTTTGTCCTCACTTCTACTGGAAGATTGTTGCTGAACTTCACTGCTCTGGCGCTTAGAAACCTTCTGATTTCAGACTTAAATTATTCATTGTTGGTAGTTCAGACAGATCTTTTGGAAATTTATTGTTTACTTGGGAAACAAATGATAGTGTCTGTTATACCTATAATCATGCTGCTTTAATAAGTATATGGAAAGTGTTGACTAAAAGATGATTGATGAAGAAAGTGATTAATACTGCAGTTGCATTTTAGATTATTGCATCAGCCCAATTACATTTGTCTTTCTCTGAGGCTGAACATTCTTGAGTACATAGGTTATTTTCAAATAACCTGCCATTTTGTTCCTGAATAAAAGATAGAATGCACATTTATTGTAAAAACTGATTTTTTCCCTATCTTTTCTTTTTCTAACTCTTCTGTCTCTTGTCCCATGCTGCTGCTTCTTTTGACAACATGTCTTATATGGGCAGCATTAGAGGCTGTTGTTTGTATTTGGTAATGCCAAAGAGGACAGTAGGTAGAGGTTTCCCTCGTTTTATGCTGTATATACATTCCCGAAGAACGGTGCATAAATTAAATTTGCATAAAGCGCACCTACTTTACAATGTAACAAATAGGGATAGGTTCCCATGGCGGTGAGGGAGAGAGGGAGGGAGTGAGGCTAGGACTAGAGAAGGGGTTGGTGGAGGGTGCTGCTCCCGGGGCTGCACAAGGAAACAAAACAGAGGGAACAGAGTGGCACTCACCCCAGCCCCGGCTGCAGTGGCCCTGGCAGCAGCTGGTGCCAGCTGCCTGCACCGTGCTCTGCCTGTTCCCACTCACCTCTGCTCCTGGGCTGTGCCATGCCCTAGTGCAGGCAGCTGGTGTCAGCTGCTTTTGGGGCTGCTGCAGCCAGGGCTGGGGTGAATGCTTTTCCCTGTGCCACCCGGGGCTCTGTTTGTCCACACTCACCCCAGCCCATGCTGGAGCAGCCCTGGGAGCAGCCGACACCAGCTGCCTGCACCAGAGCATAGTGCAGCCCATGAGTTGGGGTGAGCCCAGGCACAGGGGGGACACAGGCAGAGCATGGTGCAGCCCAGCGGCTGCAGGCTGCTGGTGCTGGCTGCTCCTGGGACCGCTGCAGCTGGGGCTGGGGTGAGTGGGGACATGGCCCTTTCCCCACCTCCCACAGATTTACCTGCTTGGGCGGGGGCGGGCATGTATGCTGATCACATAAGAGTGAATTTACCTCGCATATAACAGAAGCTTTTAAAATGAGGACCTGATCCAATGAGGTGCTGACATCAATAGGAATTACAGATGCTCAATGTATGAACAGCAAAAAGTAGGGAAATAATTTTACAAAACACTTAAAATATGTTTAACTGAGCCCTTGTCTCCTTGCTCCTGTTTTTGTCAGTTTTTATTTTTTTTCTTCTTTTCTGTTTGGCGTATGGAAAGGCAAAGAGCTAAACCATAGGGCAGGGGTGTCAGAATCCTTGGGCTCGGCATGCTGGATTGGGTCTGTAGACTGACCTGTTGTGGGCATTGTGTACAGTATGTGTCTTGGCCCAGTCTGATGATGGTGCCATGTGCAGCTCACATCCCAGATTGGCCTGGTACGGGCTCTGAGTGCAGAGGGTGGGTCAACTCCAAGACCAATTGGCAGCAATGTGGGCTGGATGGTAGGGCTCCGTGAGTCAGATCTGGCCTGTGGGCTATATCTCTGACACTCCTGCACCAGGGATAGCACACAGGGTGAGGAGCAAGCAAGCTGTACATAGTTCCTGCCCTCAAAATAGGGGTTCAGTATGTATCAGGAGAATGTTGTATTGAGAATAGTTACTTAGAGGTAAAGTGGACTAAAATTCTTTACCTACCCTCTTAACAGCAAAACATCCTCATGTTAAATTATGTCACTGTTGGATTTAGTACCATGAAAGTATTGCTTCTTTTGACTGTATTAACATCTTGGGTTAAGTCTATTTATTAATATAACAATACCATTCTAATCCATCCCGTTTTTGTGGTGCAGTGATACCCCAGAGGCTGGCAGGCTGTAGTATCTAGCCCATTGGCAGGGCAGATATTGGTGGGGCAGCTGAAGTTATTGATCATGTTGGGTATCTTACAGCCAGGATATTCATCAATTCAGATATTCATCAGTATAGTTTAATATGCAGGCCCTTATTCAGCAAGGTACTTACCTGTATGCTTCAAGTGAAACACATATATAATTGCATTCCTGTTCAGTGAAGCACAGTAAAGTTAAGCATGTGCTCTCGTGTGCTTTAATGAGGTGATACGGGTGTGTTTGCTCCTACACTGACCCCCATGTTAAGTTCACTGGCTTGCCAAAAGCTCTGTTAGCTTTATTCTAGTGGTACATTATCTTCTTGACAATGTTTGTATGACCATTCAAAATATTACCAAGGTGAGTGAACTTCTGAATAACTGGTCTGCCAAGATCTGAAGATTTGCCCTGGAGTTGGCCACCAGTGGCCTGTCATTGCCATGTCAGAGTAGCTATATAGTCCAGGGGTAGGCAAAATGGTGGATCTGGCTGGTGGCTGGACTCCATTTCCCAGCAGCTCCCGCCTGCTTCGCTGTGGCTGGTTTCCATGGAGGCCCTAGCAGCAGTAGCAGCGCCGTGCAGCGTGGGGTCGGGGTTTCCATGGGAATTGGCCCCAGCAGCATTGACAGGGTGCATGGCTGAGCGGGGAGCTGCTCCGGGGCTGGGATCTTGCAATGGTGACAGTAAGGTAGAGCTGAGGAAGAGCCACTATCTACTGCCTGCACACTCCTGCCTGGACCACGCTGTCACAGCTGCAGGATCTTAGGTGCGGAGCAGCTCCCTGCCCAGCTGAATGCTCTGCCAGCGCTGCTGAGGCCAGTCTCTATGGAAACCTTGGCCTTGCGCTGTTTTGGTGCCACCGCTGCTGGTGTTTCCATGAAAACGGCTGCAGTGACATGGGCAGAAGTTACTTGGAAATGGATCTGCCACAGGCCCAATCCAGCCTGTGGGCCAGACTTTGCCTGCCCCTGGTACAGTACACTGTTTTTGGCAATCTTGGTATCAATGCACAGTTTGAAGAGGTTACCCCTCCTGCAATTTGTAAGTGAATCCTGATAATCCACATTAAGGTTATAGGTTGCCTTGTACAAATAAGCAGGATCAAAAGTAACAGTTAAGTACAGGAAGAAAAAGAGATTGCATTGCCTGCAGCAGAATAGAAGAACCTAGAAAGAATGTCTTTGGAGAAGCTATGACCATACACATCCTGTTATTAGAAATGATCTGGGCGACTCCATTATTGGAAATACCTCCAGACTGCATGGGAATGAATATAGAAGCATTGCATTAGCTTACTAGTCATATTTTATTTTCCTGTCTACATATGTTGTGCTATTGACGTTTCATGAGGGAACAAGTGAAAAATGATGAGAACAAGAGACATGCAAGTTAAATTTCAAGGACTAAGATTTATTTTTGTTGTCTGTGTTGCAGAGTGATTTTCCTCACCTATGGCAGGAAGTAATTGATCACGTGTAAAATTGGTTTACTGCTGCGTTGTAGACACAGACTTCACAGACACAGACTTGTAGACACAGACTGGGCAGAGCAAGACATCATCACCGTACAATCTAGCCGTTAAGCTGGGCAGCTAGCCCAGATGTTACAAGGAGAGGTCCTCAGAGTACCTGTCAAAGCAAATCTGAACCATTCAAGTAGGGCAGTAGTTTTGTGATGCATGGGGAATGAACAAGTGCCACTGTGCCAGCGCTTAAAAAAGAGTACAGTCAGAATTTGGGTGATTTTGAAATAACTATAGATTTAACCCTAAATGTAACTACAGA